TTGCTATGGCACCGCCACCGGGCATTATACATTTATATATAGTATAATTGTGTCTACTGCTCTGTTTGTTTTTCTTTTAAAAAAAATAAATTTTTAATATTATTTATTAAAAAAATTCTTTTTAAGTAAATATCATATAAAATTACTATTAAATTGCAAACCATAAATAAAACTGCCAAACACGCCCTTGGCTTATTTTAACTGCATTTTAGGATATTACACATGACATTCCAATTATTGTATTCACAATAATTAAATATATCTATCTATATAACAACAAAATTCGGTCCAACATCCACTTCTCTGTTCTAATGCATACATTTGTTTAGAAAATAAAATATTCTCTGTTCTAATGCATACATTTGTTTAGAAAATAAAATATTACTTCATCTATCTGTTCGTCGAAAATTATTGTCATTTTTCTTTTAAGTAAAAAATTATTATATTTTTGTATTTTTTTTTACTATAAAAAAAATAACAATTATTATTCACTTTTATTAATTCTCGTGTCAGGTCAAATGAGTACAAATTTGCATGACGGAAAGAGTATAAAACAAATATATTGAAAATATTGGAATAATTTTTTAATTGTCAGATTGCCAACTCACTGCTGATTTAAACTTGAAAACCACAATTTGGATGTGTTTATTTGTGGTGTTGGTTTTGAATAGAAAATTTTTAAATTGAAACAATTGTTTAATGTGTTATAAATATGTATTGATTTGATATTTTGAATGTAAAATTAAATTTTTAGAGTAATATAAAAAATAAAAAAATTAAATATTTAATTTGATATTTAAAAAAAAACAAATTGAGAATAATAAAACTAAATATAAGAAAACACACTCAAAATCAGTCCTACACTCTACCAAGTAAAAGAATTTATGGTTTCCAGTTTTTTTTTTTTTTTTTAGTATTTTGATATGATATTTATTTTTTCTTTTTTATATAAGATATAAATAATTTTTTCGATAATATTTTATATTAAATGTTAACTTTTTAAAAATATATATATATAATTAAAAATTATGTTGGAAAAAATTTAGATAAATAAACCCTTTATATATATAGATGTATGTAGTGAAGCTTTGACAATTTTCATTTATAATACAATATTTTTAAATATTATATTAGATATTGTTTTTACAAGATTTTGTTTTAAAAAAACTTCAATTTTCTTTTACTATTCTCAATTTTTCTTTTTCAAAATTATGAAATTTCCAAAACTCTAATTTAAACAAATTATATGAATGTGTTCACTTGTTATTTTTCTCTATTTTTACTATTCAATTCTTATAATGTGATACTTTTTTCGTCCTATTTTAAAGTTTCATTTTTATTATTTTTGTTTGTCATATTTTTATATCTCTTTTTCATTTTAGAAAATATAATTATACATTAATACCAAAATATTATTAACTTTTACTTAAATTACAAATATATTACTCCCTCCGTCCCGAAACTAAGTATCCATTTGTTTTTTCACGTAATTTTAGAAATATTAGTATTATATTGGGATATAGTAGGAATAAAGTAGAAATGACTAAAATAACCTTATTAGTATGTGTGATATAAAGGTAATGACATTTGTGTAATATATTGTAAGTTGTAAGGGTATTTGTAACGTAGAAAGTACAATTACTAAAAAAAAAAGAAATGAATACTTTATTATGAGACTGACTAAAATAGAAAAAATGGATACTTTGTTATGGGACGGAGGGAGTATTACATATAAAATTAAATGAAAAAAATGTTAAAACTTCTTACAAACTTTCCCAAACTAATAAAATATTATTATTTTTTTAATTTAGTATAAAATTCCAAATAACTTATTTGATTAGAGACGGAGCGAGGATAATATATATATATATATATATTGAAAAATGTTTCTATCTCTTTCATAAATATTTATATTTATATTTTTAGGAATGTTTCTATCTCTTTCATAAATGTTTATATTTATATTTATATTTAAAATTTATTATTTTATATAAAATAATTTTTGTTAATTGTAAAAATATATAAATATATATATATTTTTATTTATTTATATTAAATAAATTTTATTTTTATAAATAATATATATTATATATCTTACTTCATTTTAATAATAAATATTATTATTTTTTAATATATTATACTTAAAACTTAAAAATGGAAAAATATATATCCGAGTACAGCGGAGAAGTATCAAAATAAAATACTCCCCCCGTCCCGCCACATATGACTATTTTTTCTTTTTAATACATCTCACAAAAGATAATCTATTTTTATTTTTAGTAACTTTATTAATTTTAAACATAGTTAACAGATATAAAAATCAATTTAATTAAACTTTTAACATCTTACATGTATGATTCACTTAAAATCCTTTTATTTCTAACTCTCTCCTCAATTAACATAATTTTTTTTTATCTATATTTAAAACTCTTTATTTTTTATAAAACTAATTTATGATAATAATAAATAAATAAAAATATTTCTTTATTTATTTGTATTATATAAAATTTTATTATTTACAAAATGATATCTATATTATATATATTTTTTTAAATTTTAAAAAATTTTAAAATATCAATAATATTATTCATATAAAAAAAATAAACTAATATTATAACTTATTATTAATAACTTACTAATTTACACTGTCTAAAAAATCGTAGTCTAATTAAAAAAATTCAATCCTTCGCGGGACGGAGAGAGTTCAGAAGAATAGGCCAAATATTTTTATTTTTTTTAACTCTAAACGAATATGGGCAGAGAGAGACAGTACAAAAAGCCGAGCCATGATCAATAAATAATAAAACCGGTTAAATCGGAACCATTAAAATTACTAGTCCGTCGGCAACCACCGTAGGATTCAAAATCCACAACATGGGGCCGCCCAATCTTATCATATATCTCTCTCTCTAACGGAAACTCGATGGGTCTAACTAATTCATTAATTAATACTCCTCCATTCTATGTATTTTGGGTAAGTGTATTTGTAAAAATAATTATTTTATAATAAAAATAATTATATGTTAATATTGAGATAATTAAATTATTTAATTAAAATTAAAAAATTATAAAATTTAAAATTTAAAATAAAATTAAAATGTATAATTATATTTTCAAAAGAAATGAACAAATTATGTGAACGGATGAAAATAAAAAATAAAAAAAATTATGTGGGAGAGAGAGTACTTCTTATATTTACAAATAAAAATAAAATAAAAGTGTATTTGTTTGGGGGATTAGATTGGATTTACACTATTCATCCAATTTTTTTCCCCCAAAAATTTCAAATCAAACAACTATTTTTTATTTTTTATATCATACTAAAAATAAATTTTGCATTCAAAACATCACATCATACAACTATTCAAATTCAAAATTTTTACTATTCAAATTCCAATTCAAAATCCAAACCCGAACAAACACACCATCTTAAGTGGATGTTTTATTTAATAAAATTAATTATAATATCGTAGTGAAAAGGGACACTGACATGACATTTGAGAAGATGCAATATTCAACAGAGAAACAAACGAATCCATCCTCGGCCCAATAGGGTTCTTTCAATTACATCACAAATTCACGAATACATACAGCTGCATATATTATTTTTTTTCGGTCCCACATAATTTATCTATATTTTTTATTTTCGTCCGTCATATATAATTTGTTTTTTTTTTTCTAAATATAATTATACTCTTTAATTATATTTTAAATTTTAAATTTTATAATTTTTTTAATTCAATAAACTATTTTATTATCTTAATATTAATCTCTAATTATTTTTACTAATCTATCCGTCCCATAAAAAAAAATACAATTTTCTATTTTTCTCGGTTCCAAAAATAGGATTACATTTCATAATTTAGTAATTGTACTACATACCTAACATAATTAATACGCTTACAACTTTTAATATATTACACAAATATTATTACTTTTATATTACACAATATAATAAAGATATTTTTGTCATTTATACTATAAATCAATATAATATTAATATTAAAAAATTTATTTAAAAAAAGACAAATATATATATATTTTTTTGAGACGAATAATATACAATAATTATTTTTATTATATATATATATATTTTATATAAAAGTATTATGAAACGGAAGGACTAGTTAAGATTATATGCTTATCCTACTACAAGTCGAAAGAGACGCGGCAAGGCCAATTTGACGCGCCTGCTCATTTCCAGTTGGCCGGCCTGTTTTTTTTTTTTCCATTAATTATTAATTACTATTAATATACTACTATTATTTTTTATTCCAAATTATTAGTATTTATTAGTATTCGTATTAATAAATTAATCTCTACTAAATTATTTTTTTAGTAGTTGTTGTTAACTTCAAATTACCTACGCTTCAATAATTTCATGTGCCCGTGATTATTATTATTATTATTATTATTATTATCATTATTATTTTGGTGGTGGGACGCGTTTGTTAGAGAAATAGGGTTAGCGCCGCGGCTCCACAGGCCAAACAGCACTGCAGCATTGATGGGGCGCGGTGGGCGAGGGAGCTGAGGTCCCGGGACCTGATTAATTTGCCGGATTTTGCAATTAAAAACACTAAAAAATACGCTAAGTGAGGAAATAATTAAGTGCATATATGAATTGCTAAATTACACAAAATTAAGATTCAAGTTTTATTGTGTTAAATTCTTTCTGCTTTTAATATTGCGTCAAATTTTTTTATGATTTTATAAAATTTATGTTTAACTCCCTTAGCATCCTTATTTAACTGTATTCGATCTAAATGAGTTTAAAATGCAAATAAATTTTAGAATAAATTTTTAAAATTATAAATATATATTTTTTATATATTTAGTTTTAAAAAATAATAAAAATAAATTTTTAAAACTGGAAAAAAATAACTATATTTTCGTATATTTATTATTTTTTGAGATTAAATATATTTATAATTTTAGAAATTAAAAATTAAAATTTTAAAATTATTCGCAGTTTTATATTTAAAAAAAAAATGAAATGGAATGAGAATGGAAATGGCATTAGGGAAGGGAAGAAGGAAGGGAGCGCGTTGAACATTAATGTGTAGTTGTTCAAAAGGGAATAAAGAGAGAGAAAGAGAGAGAGATGGCATGTGGTGGGCTTTGAGCTGTGATTTAGCTGTAAGTCTTTTTGGTATTCATTTCCCATTTTTGGTTTTTCTCCTTTTTCTCTCTCATCATTACGCCATTTGCGATTGCCACCATTCACACAATCCCTAACGCTCTTTCTCTCTCTCTTCCGTAAAGGCACCACCACCACCATTAGCACCACAGCCACCCAAATCTCAACGCACCTACTGCTACTGCTACTACTACTACCGCCTTCAACGCCTCCGCAATTTGTTCCCAGATCTCTGCTGTTTGGCGGTCGCATTCTGCGTCGGAGTATATTTTTTGTGTGCTTTTTTCAGGTGCGAAGGCGGATAGGGCTGGAGATAAATGTCTGCTGTGAGATGAAGCAGAGGAGTTCGTTTACCTGCGTTTTGTGGCGGTGCTCGAGGAGCGTTTTGTTGGTGTTCGCTTTGTTTTTGCTGGTTCTGCGCTCGGCTGATGCTACGCAGTTCCAAATCGGGAGCAATGGCGGACCGCTGACGGAAGCCGAAGTGAAATACATCACGAAAAGGCAGCTGCTGTACTATCTGGATGAGTTTGGGGACAGAGGCGAGAATGTGAGCGTCGATCCTTCTCTGGTGTTCGAGAACCCTAGGCTCCGATCTGCTTACATTGCTCTGCAAGCTTGGAAGAAGGCTATTCTCTCGGATCCGAGGAATCTCACCCTCGATTGGGTCGGATCTAATGTTTGCAGCTACACTGGAATCTACTGTAGCCCCGCCCTCGACGATCCTTCCGTCCGCACCGTCGCTGGAATTGACCTCAACCATGGCGACATCGCCGGGTATCTTCCGGAGGAGCTCGGCCTCCTCACAGATCTCGGACTGTTTCACATCAATTCCAACCGTTTCTGCGGCAAGGTCCCCGAGAAGTTCAGGAAATTGAAGATACTGTTCGAGCTTGACTTGAGCAACAACAGATTCGCAGGCAAGTTTCCTTACGTTGTTCTGAGCTTACCTAAGCTAATCTATTTGGATATTCGGTACAACGAGTTTGAAGGAACGGTTCCGTCAGAGCTCTTTGACAAGCCTCTGGATGCTATATTCATCAACCACAACAGATTTGCCTTTGAATTGCCTGACAATTTCGGCAACTCGCCGGTTTCCGTCATTGTGTTGGCGAACAACAAGTTCCACGGCTGTGTTCCGGCTAGCCTCGGCAACATGAGTAATCTGAACGAGATTATCCTCATGAACAATGGATTGATGGCGTGTTTGCCGCCGGAGATTGGGATGTTGAAGAATGTGACGGTGTTTGATGTCAGCCATAACAAATTGTTGGGATCGTTGCCGGATTCGATCGGCGGAATGGTCAGCTTGGAGCAGCTTAATGTGGCGTATAATTTCCTATCGGGAACTATTCCACAGAGCATATGTTCGTTGCCGAGGCTCGAGAATTTCACGTTCTCGAATAACTTCTTCACCGGCGAGCCGCCGGCGTGCTTGGCTCTGCCGGCGATCGATGACCGCGTGAACTGCTTGCCGAACAGGCCTGTGCAGCGCTCGCCTCGGCAGTGTCAGAATTTCTTGTCTAAGAAAATCCACTGCGGTGCATTCCGGTGCCATCGGTTCATTCCTACACTTCCACCCCCACCGCCTCCTTCGCCGCCACCGCCGCCGCCTGTTTATTCCCCGCCCCCACCACCGCCTGTTTATTCCCCGCCCCCACCGCCGCCTGTTTACTCGCCACCTCCACCTCCTCCACCGCCTCCGCCGCCGCCTCCACCACCGCCTTCTCCCCCGCCCCCATCGCCTCCTCCACCGCCTCCACCCTCTCCTCCCCCGCCTTCACCGCCTCCGCCATCACCCCCTCCGCCTGTCTACTCTCCCCCACCACCTCCACCTCCTCCGCCGCCTGTTTCCTCACCACCACCACCACCACCTCCTCCACCATCTCCTGAACCTTACTACCCTCCCTGCATCCGCTCACCCCCTCCGCCCTCTCCGCCCCCTCCAACTCACCCGCCACCCCCTCCGCCTCTAAATTCACCCCCTCCCCCACCCCCACCACCACCACCACTTCCCTATCCCTATTACTCCCCTCCGCCGCCTGTTCACTCCCCACCTCCTCCGACGCACTCCCCCCCACCTCCACCACCACATTCACCTCCTCCACCGCCAGTCCACGTCTACCCTTCACCGCCCCCACCAGTCCACTCTCCACCTCCGCCAACCTTCTCCCCACCGCCACCACCAACATCGCCACCCCCACCCCCACCCTGTATAGAACCACCGCCGCCGCCTCCTCCACCTTGTATAGAGCCACCTCCGCCTCCTCCATCTCCACCCCCATGTGAAGAACACTCACCTCCTCCCCCCTCACCATACGTACACAAATCCCCATCACCACCCCCACCCCCACCATACATTTACAATTCTCCGCCGCCACCATCCCCATCTCCACCACCCACTCCAATATACTACGGACCACCCCTGCCTCCTGTAGTCGGGGTCTCATACGCCTCTCCTCCTCCCCCACCCTTGTATTGATTCTTTTGAGGATCTTCCTCCAAAACCATTCCATTCCATTCCATTTCAAATCAGCAGACCAAAACTCCCCCACATCAATCTAGAAACAAAGAAAAGAAGAAAGAAAACAGGTACCGGACTGCCCATTACTTTGTATTATTATATAATTATAATTATTATTTTACTTACGACCTTACTTTCAGTCAGTCTCTCTCTCTCTCTCTCTCTTTCTCTGTGGCATTCTTGATTCTCATCGGTGGGGATGAGTCAGAAACCCAAAATTCATATATGATCTACAATCAAATCCAATTTGGGATTGGATTTGATTTGATTTGATTTGATTTGACGATGAGAGCATTTGTGCCCGGAATTGGATTAAAAAAAATATGTATGAGGTAATTTATTTTGAGTTTGTTGCCTTCCCTGCCATGGCGGAAGCAACTGCAAGTATAGATAAAGTGGGCAATTGCAAGATCAAAGGATAGGGATGAATTAAAATAGTAGAATTTTCATTTTCCTCCTCGAATATTATCGATCATTGTTACTGTAATGTTTGGATTTGATTTCTTCTGGGCGACGATGATGTTGATGGTGCAGAGTTTAATTTGTGAAAAATAAAGTAGGAAGGATTGATTAGCAGGAAGGCGACTATGAATGTGACTGTGACTCTCTCTCTCTCTCTCTGTCTCTCTGTATGTATGAAGATGATAGATAATCAGAGGGCCAGAGTGTGGCTTGGCTTCTTTCTGGGTTTATTTTTTTATTACTTGTTACAATATCATAATCATCATCATCGTTTGATGGGAAATGGTTTGTGTGTGTGTGTGTGTGTGGTGGTGTGGGATTGAATCCACTTTGAAATAAGCTAGCTAGCTCAATCCTGAAAATACGTACAGTCAGGCTCACAGTATATATTGTACTCCCTCCATCCCGTGTTAATTGGATTAGAATTATTGATATTATATTGATAGTCGGTAAAAATTTTAAATATAAGATTTTTTTTTGTCTTTATAAGTGTATTAGTGTAAAAAGTAGTGGCAATTGTGTAATAAAAATAAAAAAATAAAGGTAGTTTTACGATGACAAAAACTATTGTACTTACATGGAGGGAGTATTATATTTCACAAAGAAAATAGATTTCTTTTTCTGGTTTGACATAAAAAACATAGATTGTTTTTTTTTGTTTTTTAAAGCAAAAATTATATTATTTGTAATTATTTTTCTTTTATATGTTTTTATTATTAACAGACAAATACATAGTCAATTGATATTTCACGGCGATGTTTAATTAGTTAATAATAAAAAATTATGATATATTATTATTTATTATATAATTAATATTACTGATAGTTAAATATATTTAATGTATATATGATACAAAAATTGGAATAGATAATTAAATATTTTAAAAATTTTATTGCAATAAAAATATATGTAATATGAATATTATTTTGTAAAGAAATAAAATAATATGTTTATTTTATTTATAATTATATAAATTTAATTATATGAAAGATGTGAAGTTTTAAAGGTAAATAAAAATATTTAATTTTTGAAGAAATATATATAAATAAAAGGGTTTTAAGTGCCTCGCATATTACAAGTTGGTTTATATTTGTTAAGTATATTTTGATTTAATAATTTTTTCAAAAAATAAAAAATGTCAACTATTATTAGAAAAAAAAAATGTCAATTACGTTGGAAGAGAGTAAGTAGTAGAGTTGTTAACGATTCGAGCCAAACCGAGCCAAATTTTAAGTGTTCGTTAACGTTTGCGAACAAGGCTCAGGCTCGTTCGTTAAGCTTTCGAGCTCGTTCATAGTGTTCAAACTCGGCTCATTAAGAATTTTTGCTGTTTGAGCTCGTGTTCGTGTTCGGCTCGTTTAGGATTGATTAAGCTCGTTCAAGTTCGTTCGAGCTCGTTTGTCTTATTTTTTTAAATTTATGTATAAATTATAGAAAAAAATTAAAATTATTTTATTTATATATTTTAAATTAATATTTTATTTATTTATAAATTATAATTTTATATGTATATATAATATTTATAATAAATATATTATTTAAACGAACGTCGAACGCTCGCGAACAAAGCTCGGGCTCGTTTGTTAATCAAACGAGCCTGTTTATTTTGTTCGGCTCGACTCATTAACGTTCACGAACGAGCTTTAATCGAGCCGAATCGAACCGAGTTCACGAACGGCTCGGTTCGTTTAAGAGCTCTATAAAGTAGTATGTATTGAAATTAGTGTTGAAGTAAATATTCTTATTCGTCTCATATTTCTTGTCTATATTATTTAGTTTGATATATAGTATTTGTTTTATTTTTTATTTTAATAGATTATACATTTTAAATTTTAATTTTTTTAAAATTTAATTCAAATTAAATTAATTAATTATTTTAATTTTAATTTTCTATAATAATTAATTTTATACGGTAATTTTTATTATTATTATCATTATGCCTAAAATTTCATATACACTACATAAAAGGTGAGATGGAAAAATTATATTATACTCCCTAATGTCTTAAAGTATATTTGCACGATTTTTTTAAGTAATTAATTTTTTTTTTTTTGTTATGAATTGACAAATTTACCTTTTACGGTAAAATAAAAGATTAAAATGGCAAATGAATGAAGAATAAAAACATAAAGTTTGTGTAAAAAAAAAATAGAATAATCGTTGTTGAAAGTATCAAATAGAAAAATAAGACATTAGTTTATGGATAAATGAAATACTCCCTCCGTTCCATAACAAATTATCCAATTTTTCATTTTAGTCCGTCCCATAACAAAATATCTATTTTTCCATTTTAGTCCGTCCCATAATAAAGTATCCATTTCATTTTTTAGTAACTGTACTATCTACCTAGCATTACAAATACCCTTATAACTTACAATATATTACACAAATGTCATTACCTTTATATCACACGTACTAATAAAGTTATTTTAGTCATTTCTACTTTATTCCTACTATATCCCAATATAGTACTAATATTTTTAAAATTATGTGGCAAAAAGCAAATGAATATTTTCGGAGGGAGTATTAGATTTGCTATATGGAATGGAAAATGAGGACGTGATCTAGTCTAGTGAAGCTTGCTTGTATTTATATAACTGGTGTGTTGGGATACACTTTAGTTAACTAGAAAATAAAATAATTAAATCGAGTCCATATATTTCCGACGATGACAGTTGAATTGATTTTTTTGTGTCATTATGGTGGGCGGAATTTTATCTCGTGAAGAAGGATCATTTCCGAGACTTGACTTCACGGGTATATATATATATATATATATATATATTTTTATTTTATATTATTGTTGTTGTTTATTTTGAAATTATTATATTAAATAATTATTTATTTGATTATTTAAAATAATCATATTGAATCTCACTAATATATTCTCAACCAAACAAAAACGTCAACTTTAATATTGAGGTCATTGGAGGAATTTGCACTAATGTTTGTTCGGGGATTTTCCCCAAATTTTAATACGGCAACTTCCAATAAAATCTCTATTTCTTATTACAAATTCTTATTTACTCTCTAAATATAAATATCTTCTTATTTACTTTCTATTTTTATAATTTTCTTCTTTTTCACTCCCTACCTATTTAAAAAGACCATAATACCCTTATTTGTTTTATTCATTTTTTTCATCGTTCTCTCCAATTTCATAAAATTGATTTTTAATTTTATTTTACATTTTTTATGGTAAAAAAATAAAAACAATTAATAAAAAAATTAATCATCATAAACGAAAAAATATCACTGACAACAGAAACAACAACTAGAACGACTACAATATCTGATAATGAAAATTTCCATAAACCTAGGCTATGTAATCTCTAAATTATACAAATGTATTTATTTATAAATTTCATGGTGTTAGATTTTCTTAACTTAATTGTTAATTATTATTTTATTTTTGGGCTTTTGCAGTAAATAACTAAATTTTATAACAATGTAACTATTGTCTATTTAATTTATTGAAAGTGATGTATTTATTATGTTTTAATTCAGAAAGTACAAATTTTTTTTAAAACAAAAAAATATTTTTTTCATGAAAAATAAATAAGCTTCATTTCAATTCAATGAAATTCGTTGTTGCGGTAGCATTTTTTTAAACATAACCTTTATAATTTTTTAAAATAACAGCAATAGTTAAATCACAATACAAAATATATAAAAAAAATATTGGTCTCGACCAACTAAAATTCATGTAAGACGAAAAATATTTATTTCAAACACTATATAAAAGTATCGATTGTTCAATAATAAAGTATTAAAATAAATTTAAAAAAATACAAAACTTTGTTTTAAAAAGTATTTTCTTCACATATGAAAAGTAAGTATGACACCGTAAACCCATTCTTTAGACTCGATGCAATTCACCATTGCGATGATATATTTTTTTTTTGACACAACCCATATAATTTTATTTGTATTTATTGTCGATGTTGCTTACAAACTTTCATTCATCAATTAAGGTGTATTGAACAATAGTAAAAAATAAGAATAAAGTAAATAGTATCTTTCAAGTAAAAAATATGTGGCGTTCAATCTTGAAAACATCGTCCAACAATAACTCACTTGATTTGATACAATAATGAGTAAAATTCTTAAAATAAATAATGCAATACTTAAATTGCATTACAAAACATTTATAAACAATATTGGTTTCGACTAACTTAAATTCATGTAAGGCGAAAAATAATTATTTCAAACACTTTACAAACGTATTGGTTGCTCAACAATAAAGTATAAAAAATAAATTCGCAAAGTACAAATTTTGTATTAAAAAGTATGTTTTTCTCGTATTAAAGTACAAATGAAACAATAACCTTCTTTCGACTCTATGTAATTCATCGTTGTGATGATATATATTTCCCATATAATATTTGTAAGTTTATTTCTCAATATAAATTTACAAATATTAATTTATCCATAGGGTCTTATGACACAACAGTTGTGGTGATCAATTTTGAAATTATCATTTGATAATAAATCATTTGATTCGATACAATGCTGATAAAAATTCTTAAAAAGTAAATGCAATACTTGAATTATAATGTAAAATATTTATAAAAACTATTTGTTTCGACTGACTAAAGTTTGTATAAGACAAAAATAGGTATCTCAAATACCATGTAAAAGTACTAACTGTTCTACAATAAAGTATTAAAAATAAATTCAAAAAATACAAATAACATCATAACCTTATTTCGATTTTATATATTCTTTCGACATAACTCTTGTAAATTTATATACGTTTTTATAAAAAATGCAAATATAACTAATACTCTCAAAACTAAAATTAATCTTTTACCTAGATATCAAACATAAATCAATATAGTCACTTGGGTGTTGGTTCGATCTCGATGTGTGATGTTTGTGGGCAACTGTGGTCATGGTGGTTCGAGTTGGTGTGGGTACTTGCATTGATAGTTGAGGTAAATTTGTTATTTGATATAATTTGAAATTGATTATAAATCAGTTGAGAGAAAAATTTTCAATCTTTACACTTGTAATTTTCATTGGTGAAAATTAGAAAAACAGTTTTTATTATCTATCATTTGATATATAAAAAAAATTAAATTCGAGCAGAAGAATTATTTGAACAAATAAAGTAATTTTAGTGGTTTATGTGAGAGTATGGTAATTTAGTAAATAAAAAGATATATAAAGGGTATAATAGAAATTTTAAAGTTAAATTTACAAATAGGGAGTAAAT